TTGCAGACGCCGCCCTCTCTAAACTGCCGCCCTAGGCGGCCGCCTAGGTCGCCTCTATGGACGCGCCGGCCCTGCCTGTGGGTACAATGTGACACATGTTTGGGCTGGCTACACACAGACTGTGCGGGGGTGACAGAAAAAGAAGCCAAAAACAGCATCTTTAATTGTGGAATTGATTTAACATAGCCATACCTTTTTGAAAGGCAAGTTAGATTTTCCCACTAATTAGATCATAATTGTTTTATTTAAGTGGCGAAGAGGACTATGCCACCGCCTTGTGGGGCAGATAATAAACTTTAGACCAGGGGTGCTCACACTTTTTCAGCTTGCGAACTACTTTTAAAATGACCATGTCAAACTGCTACAAAAAAGTAAAACATCAATCAACAAACAATTATTTTTAACTTCATTGAGAATCGACAAAACACACATAATAATTGACTATTTACATTTTTTGTAATAACCCAAGTTTAATTTGATGACTTGCACTGAATTGAATCAGCCAGGGATACATATTCCGGACAGTAGCTGCTGACAGCCAGCCTCAAGCACACTTCCAAATGTTCATCAGTCATTGTGGAACGGTATTTGGACTTGGTGAAGTTTATGTATAAACTAATTTCGAGAGGATCACGTGCTTATGATTGCTATCGGCTGGATCCGCATTATCCAATTCACTATGCTCCAAACAGTTGACTCCTAAACAACTATAAATACCCTGGGTTTCATTCCACTGCTATCTTCGTTTTGAAGAGGCAGCTTCACCGTAGCTAGCTCCGTTGAAGAACCAACTCTAAACCAGCATGGACAACCAAAGCAGCTACAATCTTCAAGCTACAATTTACAAGCTTCAAGCAACAAGCTACAATCTACAGCAACAACAACTACTACTACTACTATTACTACTTCAAAACAACTCGAACGATTACATCAACAACTTCAACAAAACATCAAACCTTCCACTTCAAACGCATCTGCTGTGTCTTCAACCCTATTCTCCAGCAAATGACAGCCAAAACTCCAAAGCTATTGCACTGAAACTGAACCCTTACCTTTTTCCTAGCGGTGCACTACGCACATGAAGGGAAGCTTCGCAAAATAACTTCACCAAACATTTAGACAAAAAAAATGTATAAATCTTTTGAATAACAAGACTAACGTGAACAATGATTTTAACTAAAGATACTTGCCTCTCAAACCTCTTGCCCGTCCACAGATCCATAACATTTAACAGCTTGTTTGCTGGAATGTTCAGCAGAGCAACAGCTTCAGTCATAAACAATGGTGAAATGGATCAACAAAATGGCCTCCAGACTTTTTCACCTTTTGCACGCCCGATTGACACTCCTTAGCCAATAGCTGTAAGGAGAAGCGTCACCATCCAATGAGCTCTCTGGAGATGGTCCCGCCCTCTCTTGACTCTGTTGCAAAGTCTTTATGAATGAATTTGGGCCAGACATGCTCGTGAATGTAGTTAAGATACCAACAAAATGTTATTCATGGTCTTAAAGTAAAGCCAATTACTAACATTCCATTCACAGTTTTACTAAGTGGTGACATTGCCCTTGAAGTCTTATAGAGTTCAGCGTTTGATGTTGGCAATTGAAGAGAAAATAAAAATAAATAAATAAAATAAAAAATAATAATTAAATTATAAAAATAATAATAATTACGTAAATTTAATTAATTAAACATAATAATAATTTATACACATCGAGCACTGAAGTCCAATTACACTAGGCCAGTGACTCATTTATTCATACACTAGTCTTATGTAAGCTTATAATGGCAAGTCAGTTCGATGTGAAACGGCAACAAAACAAACTTCCTGCTTGGCTGCTATGAATAGAAGGAGGACATTTCTGACAACGGATCTTCAATAAATACTTACAGGATCACCAGACAAACCATACCCCTTATCCTCAGCTCTCCATCCATCTGCCATTCTGTGGGGGGATGAATGCTCACCTCTACCATCCTTGCACGTAGCAACAACAAACTATCAGACCATGCATTAACAAAGAGTCCATGACATTCGGCTGCAGAACCTGACCCTCATCCAACCCATTACATTCTATATGCACTTCAAATACAATCACACTCTACATAAAGCATGCATTTCCACTCACATAGCCCACACTCTCTATGCCATATTTCTCAACTTGCCTTGAATTGCGTTGTCACCCTGTTACTAACTTCTGATTCTGATTTCAGGTCTAACCCAAGGATCTAACCCGGGCGTTTCAGCTCTCCCTTCCTTAAACTTATTCTGCTTCAATCTACAATCTGCAACTACCGAACATGAAACAGTGGATTCGTTAATCAAAAAAGAATCGATAATAAATTCATGATCAGACCATTCTAGCCCTACTGTTCAGCGTTCTCGTATTAGTCCTATCGGCATTGCGACTTGAAAATTCTCTAGCAAAAACGATTGATTATCTCTCCGCTCCTCACAATTCTATATTCCTTAGCATTTAGCAGCACTATTCCTTCTGACAAATACTCACTGATTTACCATGACATAAACCAATCCATTTCTGTCATCAGAATAGCCGGTCGCAACGCCTAGTGAAAATTTATATTTTATTTGCCTTAAAATTCATGCCAATCCACCCAGACTTTTAGCGCCTTTTGGCATCAATTGGCGCTCACAATTTTACTTTGCAGTCCAACTAACTTCAGCTGCAAAAGTAGCCACAAAATTTTGACATGCTTTTAGAAGCATTATGCTGGATTTGATCTAATAACTACAAAATCCCGAACATTAACCATCTCCTTGACAATTTTCTCCTTGCCCCTGGCTAAATACATGATGATCACCCAAAAGGTTTCGAGGATATAGGGATCCCCCTCGCAGAGGAGAAAACAGCTGGTCCCAGCACTTCTATAGAATTCCTGGGCATCAACCTATATTCGAATAAATTTCAAGCATCCCTAGGCTTCCTTCACATACATATGTTGTCATTATTATTTGTTTTCTTTGCTTTGTTCACCATGTAGTTCTACCACAGCCATCACCATCATCACATGCAGTCATTACTTCTCCATGTCCACTAGCTCCTGTGTGCAGGTCTTCTTCTGGACTGATCAGCAATATACTTCCAGCTCTATTTCTTTTTCATTTGGAAATCTGAGCACAGCATAATGGAAAGAGTCAGAATCAATTACATCCTGCCTTGTCTCTATGGCTGTCCAACCCAAAATGTTGTGTCCTCTGGTGTGGGAGGACCTAGAGTGATCCTTGGGACTAATGGACAGTATTACATTTTTGCATCCCGTCTGTGCTGTAAGGCATGCAAAAAATGCTGGTATGCTTCTAAACCTAAATGGCTGGACATGTTACCACTGTGATTTAAAAGCATCTTCCCTGCATTCCTCACCCATAAGAAAGCAATCTGTAAGACGGTGATGGATGAACTGAGGCGCTCAGGAAAATCGCCCGATGACATAGCTAACCAGTTGTCTGAGGTGCTTCACCTTAAATATAAAAAAGCACATCTGGCCTACCTTCTTAGTGTCCAGAACATCAGGGATGCTGAAGCAGGGTTGTATGGTCAGAAAACCATTACTGAGGCTGTGAGGAAGGACGACACACCATCACCGTTTGGCGTTTGAAGACACTGACGGGTGGCGTGGACTATCAGTCTCTCAGACACTTTTGGACAGGTTCTCAGGTCAGATCATGCACGCAAAGTTGCCAGAAAAGTGACCTTCTCATCTGGCACAATGTCATCCTAAGCTATGATGAATGAGAACTGGATGATCCCGTCATGGGTGATGCTGCAGAGTGAGAGTGAGCAGTCCCTGGAGTCAATGTACTGTGGGCTAGCTGATCGCTATAGGGATGCTGGTATTCCAAAGGCCAAGTACCAGTGGGTGGACTGGTAAGAATAATCATATCCAACATACATCATATCAAGTAGAGTAAGCAAGGCTAATGCATACATTTATATAAAAATATATTTCCCTTTTGTTTATTTAGGGACTGCTGTGCTGCTTTCAGAGTGTTGGACCCTGTACCTTATGAGCACCAGCAGTGGGAAGCCTGGAGGACTACTGAAGCTGTAGTCAATTAGGTTACATCAGAAAATCTCAAGAATTTACATGCTGCCTGTCGGAAGTTCAATGAGGACATGGTTGTTAAACTGGACTTGTTTCATTGGATTCCCTGGTTCACCAGGGAGTGTGTTTCAGAGCACCATCCTTTGTAAACCTCATTCTGTCAGTTCCTCTCCTCTGCCTTCACTGTAGTAGATCAGAGTGACCTGGAAAATCTGAAGAGTGCATACAAAATCTGTGGTATTGAGCCGGCTAATCCCACCAAGCAGCACATCAGAGAGGACTGCAGAACAAAAGTGCCACATCCTAGAGAGCTGGTCCAACAAGTGGAAGAAGTGCTTCATCATTTTTATCTTGGAATGGATTGGAAACAACATCTTCCTCTTCAAGCCATCTATAATGAAGTTGTGGTGGATTCAGTGAGTGACCCTGAGGTGGAAGAGGGAATCCTCTACAGACATGGTGGAACCCTACAGCTGAATCATGTCAATTGTCAATTGTACAATTGTCATTACCATATGCTGCTTTTTCTATGTGTCTGCCTATTGTTGTAATTGTACTACTTCATGCTTGATTATGCATGTAAGGCCTACTGTGTTTGTACATTTATTTTGAACATTTAATAAAAAAATGAAATAACATAAAAATTGAGATATATTGTATAATCCCAAATCTTATTTTTGAAAATGGTGGTATAGAATTTATTTTAAAGTGAGACTTTGAGATTAACATACTCATATTGGGCTGTCTACATACACACACCACTTACAGACAGTACACATTATAATCAGCGGACATGAGCATTGCAATATGTTTTGCATATAAATAATAATTTAAATGAACAAAAAGCTGAAGGGCATCAGTAGTCTGTTGAGTTTTGGAATTGGCATGTAAGCTAACAAATCCCTCATGTTCTCATTCACAATAGCAACACTGGGTTTCCCATACACCAATTTATTTGTAGTAATGTGAGTTTTCACATGAACATATCTTTAAAGGTAACCAGTTGTGTACAGAAAGCTAAATTGTCTTTATAAAGAAAGCTTTTTCCTTTCTTAAATCAGTCCATCAAAATAAATGTTTAGGGTTTTGAAACCAAAGTCGTCATTTGTTACCCGAAACCACATAATAATCTGACACATATCTGATCTGTTGCAACTGGCAAATGGCATTGTGTAGTCTGAACAGGGTTTTAGGGAGTCAGTCACTGTCATTGCCTTATGGCGAGTTCACACCACATGAGATAAGCCGGATTTTCATTCGCCAACAAATTTTGTAAATTGCAGACAAAAGTCCAAAACTGGAGGCAAATCTGTGTTTGTTCACGTAAATGACAATCAAACAATATGAATTACATATAAAAAAAAAAACTATATAAATTATCAAAACAAAGGGTGCAGGACAGTTTCTCCTCCCTAATCTTTCTAATTTTCTTTTTAGTGCTGACCATTTGATGGAAGTGTGCAATGTGCAAAAACATGGTTATTGGTTCAATATAAAGTTGAAACTCTTACAACCTGGTACTGCACTGTGACCCATGATCTACACTACAAAAAAAAAAAAAAATCTTCACCCCTCCTCAGTTATTGAGTTTAAATCTTCAGGTGTTCAAAGGGTTTCATTTCCAGTAACTTGATATGTTTTCAAGTGCCCTAAGCTCCGCTGGACAAAGCCTCAATTTTGAGGACTCTGCTCCCCATTGTGAAGCTTCATGTGAGTGTTGAGGCTTCTTTTACATTTAAAGCCCTTTCCACATTCACTGCATCTAAAACGATCCTCTCGTGAGTGAATCTTCATGTGTTTCCTAATGGTGTCTTTGCGTGTGAAAGTCTTTCCACACTGATCACATGTGAACACTATGGTTCCAATGTGACCATTCATGTGGTTCTTGAGGCTAGCTTTGGTTGTGAAGCTCTTTCCACACTGAGCACATGTAAACGGCTTCTCTCCGGTGTGACTTATCATGTGGTGTTTGAGTGAAGTTTTACATCTGAAACTTTTACTACACTCTGTGCAAAAGTAAGGTTTCTCTCCATTGTGAATCATTATGTGGATCTCAAGGTCTTGCTTTTGAGCAAAACCTTTCCCACACTGTGTGCAAGTAAAAATTATGCCTCCAGTGTGAGTTCTTATGTGGTCTTCAAGGGTGCTATTTTGCTTAAAACTCTTTCCACACTGATTGCAAGAGTAAGGCTTCTCCCCAGTGTGAATTCTCATGTGCGCTGCCAAGTTTGCTGACTGATAGAGGCTTTTTCCACACTGTAGGCATGTGTACAGCCTCCCTCCAGTGTGAATTCTCATGTGCTGTGCAAAGTTTCCTGTAGTATAGAAGCGTTGTCCACACTGTTGGCATGTGTAGCGCCTCTCTCCAGTGTGAGTTCTCATGTGGACTTTAAGGTAGCCATTTTGCTTAAAACTCTTTCCACACTGAGGGCAAGGGTAAGGCTTCTCCCCAGTGTGAATTCTCATGTGGACTTGAAGGTTGTGTTTTCGACTGAAACATTTTCCACACTGACGACATTTGGATTTCCGAGGTCTTTCGCATGATGAAGTCTTTTCGGTCAGTGTGTGTTTTTCATCAGTTGTTATTTCTTGGTGTTTCTCAAACTGTTTCTCTTCCATTTCATTCCATTGGTGAGTCTCTTCTTTCAGCACCATCAGGTCTTAAAAAAAAAGAAAAAAAAATGAACATTAGTATGAAGGCACAAAGCAACAAGGATAAAATGGATGTTTCACCCAACAATGAAAATGACCTTACCATTTACTCTCCGTCATGTGGTTTTAAACATTTCCTTTCTTCTGGAACGTGAAGAAAGCCTCCGTTTTTATTTTATTTTAAATATCTTCTTTTGTGTTCAACAGGATCAAAAAAAAAAAAAAAATACTCATAAAGGTTTAAAACCACACAAGGGAGAGTGTGATGAGGCATAATGGAATACAGGTCACAAAGAATATAGCAAAGCACTTATGTGCAAAATTGACAGTATTCCATTCCTCTTTACGGTCCATACAAAAATGATCATAAATTTGTACAAATGAAATCCATAAAAAAATAAAGATGTCAGTAAAATAAACAAAAATCAAAACAAACAAACAAGAAAATAAATATATACATGTAGAAATGACCGCTCTTTGCTGTTCAACCTTCAACAAAAAGGTACGGTAGACTAGCATTATTTGCCTTCCACTGCAAAAGACTAACTAAAAGACTCCACTAAATTCCCTTGGGTGAGTATTAAAATATTGCACTTGTATAGATGATCACATACATAGCATTCAGTTAATCTCTAGTATCATAACAGGTGTATTGAACAATAATAATACATCATATTGATCAATACATCTGTCAGTTCATGTATTTTCCTATTACTCTGGTTTTGTATTCCCAGCTCTCCCCCAAAACAGGCAACGTTAAGACAGTCCAGTTATCGGAGTGATCCCGCATGTGCGGTGCGGAAGTTATCAAACTTTCTAGATAAGTAGCGTTATCAATCTTTCTAACCAGCTACAGGAGCTGCCCATTGCTTCCAGTAACCTGGACTGCAAAAGTTCAATAAAAATGTATGTGTAACTATTTGGTGTTTGTGTGTATATATTGGCAATATAAACAGATGTGGTGACAAGTGAATGTATAGTGTGCATTATAAATGCAAAGATAATATTATCCCAACCTTTGTGTGCATCCAAGGGTTGAGAATGGCAGAATTACTGATGGTTATTAGACTGTGTGTAAATGAAATGATGTACTGTTGCGATAGTAAGAAAAATGAGTAAATGGTGAGGAAATTTTCATTTTTAGGTGAACTATCCCTTTTAAGCAAAGGTCTCAAACTCCATTCCTGGATGGCTGCAGCTCTGCACAGTTTTGCTTTAACCCTAATCAAACACAGCTGATCCAACCAAGGTCTTTAGGACTACTAGAGACGATTTCAGACATCCAAAGTCTCTCGGAACTTCCGGGAGTCTCCCGCAAATGCATAATGACACCCGGATGCCCACAAATGAATGATAATCTCCCGGAAATTGTCAGGCTGAATAATTCAACTGACTTATTGACTTGTCTTCGTTAGTTTCAAAAACACAGATTTCTTTACAATGTAAAACAGCATCTTTGGATATCTTTTCTGCTGGAGATACTGTTGTCCTGAAAAACTTAAAACATAATAAAAAAACCTTAAATATACTGTAGGAACGGTACAGTAGAACATTTTGGCGGTTTTAAAACCTTGACTTTTTCAAACTGCGGTATACCTTGAAAGTGGTTATTGTCCCATTCCTAAGCAGCATAACACTGTTTTTTGGATCTAAAAATTAATTCTTTAAAAAAAGTCTCAAGCAAAAAGATTCCAATGGCGGCGCCTGCTGGTACGTGAAGAATATGGTCAATACTGACAAACTTTACACTCAAATGTTAGCATATCATCAGCATGCTGTAATCCATTTCTTGAGCAGCAACAGTTATTTTTAGACTAGTTTGTTGGCCAGTTGTAGTCAGTGCAATGCTAAACGTAATTGTTCCACTATAATTTGTTTGTTTTGTCTCACGTTGTCCCACAACTACATCATATAGTTTAGAATACTGTACAATGTTTTATAAAAATTTATTATTTTAGTGTCCATTTCTTTCAGCATATTTAATATTGGGGCATTCACACTTTCTGACATACTTTAAACCAGGGTTTCTGCAGGTATTACCAAGTTAAATGTAAAACTTTTTAAGACCATTATGAATGAAATTTTAGACTCATAAAGGGCTAAAGACTGAGGAATTTTTCGAATAGCCCAAAATGTAAAAGATTTTTATTTGCCCTATCAAAAAGATAATTTAACACATGTAATGATACAATAATAAATGAATAATAATAAATTAAAATAATTTAGATATTTCTTAGCAAAATATTTTAAATATTGCATACAAGCAAACAAGCAAGCTTTACTTGTATCCATATACTTTTTTCCAACATAAACTTTGAAAAAAATAAAATAAAATTAACAAATGTTTTAAAAGTTTAAAAAACTATAATAAACTAAATCTATGCACAACAATCTGTCCAGGTCGATGTCCTCAGCAGTAAATACATGTAGCACGTTTAAACAAATGTTATTGTAAGGAAAATAATTAAACCATCATGATAAATAGAGTTAAAATGACCTTTTTGAATAAAAAGTTTAAAGTTTTATTGAGATTGATTGTTGCTGATTGTATGAGTTTTGGCCAGATTGGGTAACAAAACATGAACAAAGAAACATAGTTTGTTTAAAAAAAAATTAAGACCTACAACAGTAAATTTAAGACTTTTTTAGGCCTAAAATTTTAATTTTGGAATTTAAGACATTTTATGAACCGTGGAAACCCTGTTTAAACACCATAGCCCTGGTAATTAGTTATTATAATAATTATGTAATTCTAACTCAGATACTATCTGTGAGAAGTAGAAACAACTACTAGAAACAAGTTTAATCCCATAAAGAAGTTGATTAAAAAAGGGGAATTGTGATCAACGTGACATATGCAAATGGAAAGTACTAAGCCAACACCATCACTGTAATAGCAAATATCTTCTATGAGAATACTGTAGGTCAAATATTGTCAGCTTAGTTAAACTTAAAAAAACATTTTTTTTGTTGTTTTATTCATTTTATATAGCCCCAATGCTCAAGAACTCTTTACAAACAGTGGGAAAACAAGAAAAGCAATAACCTTAAGAAGGTTATGACCAGGGGCGTTGCTAGGGTCGAAAGGGATAAGGGGCTTAGCCCCAAAGAACCCCCCCCCACCCCCCCTCCCAAAAAAAATGTTTTAATTCACCGGACTAATATACCTATTCTAATCTTATTAACAGGATTAAAAATGGTTAATAATAAATAAAGGGTTTTTAAGACTTGTAAAATCATAATAGGAAAAAAACTATTCTGTTATGAGCCATATCAGACCTCTTGAGCCTTCTATCTCCTCCTGATTTGAAGTTTCTGTTTGTTTTTTGAAAATGTAATTTTCTACATGTCTTCAAATCTGAAAATATGATTTATTTTTATAGTGTGAGTTGTTATCTAATGTGATACAAAGCTACAAACATGTTCATTTGGACAGAGTGATTAACTGAGGTGTAGTGTTGTCAAAATAATGGAATTTCTAAATTCACTACCTTGCAAAATATTGATATTCAATAGGCTACTATTTTTTGCATAATAACAATTCTATCAAAAATAGTAGGCTAGCTAAGGCTACAAAAAAATAAAAATAAAGATCTATATGCTATAAATATGTTTACTTTAAATTTCTTCAGAGGGATTTTTTTCTTCAGTTTTCCTCAAAATAGGGTTGATGTGGGCATTGTAGCACTTTAAATGCATGTAATGCCTGTTTTATTCATACTTGAGCAGAAATTCCATATATATTCTTCACAAAAGTAGTAGAACATTCTAGGAAATACTTAATATGGATGAAGGCATCCAGCTGTTGCTGTAGAAGAATAAAAATACGATCTGAATAAAAATAAAAAGGCTTTAACTGATCATTTACACGACTGCGACAATAAATGTTTTATACAGTTGAAGTCAGAATTATTAGCCCTCCTTTGAATTTTATTTTCTTTTTTAAATATTTCCCAAATGATGTTTAACAGAGCAAGGAAATTTTCACAGTAGCCTATGTCTGATAATATTTTCCTTTTGAAGAAAGTCTTATTTGTTTTAATTCAGCTAGAATAAAAGCAGTTTTACATTTTTAAAAAAAATTTTAGGGTCAAAATTATTAGCCCCTTTAAGATTTTATATATTTTTCCTATAGTCTACAGAACAAACCATCGTTATACAATAACTTGCCTTATTACCCTAACCTGCCTTTAAAGCCTTTAAATGTCACTTTAAGCTGTATAGAAGTGTCTTAAACAACGTCTAGTCAAATATCATTTACTGTCATCATGGCAAAGATAAAATAAATCAGTTATTAGAGTTGAGGTATTAAAACTATTATGATTAGAAATGTGCTGAAAACAATCTTCTCTCTGTTAAACAGAAATTGGGGGAAAAATAAACGGGGGCTAATAATTCAGACTTCAACTGTGTGTTCTTCCAACCATTTTAGGTATTTTCATAAGACAGTTGATTTATAATTTGATTCAAACTGACATAGCATGTTACAGTAGAATATAGTTATATAATAATACGCTAGATGCATAAACTCACTGTGATTTAACTATTACAGAAACAGATGTGACTTGCTATATCATATAAATATATCATATCTAGAAAGCTAGTACAATTTACGTTTTTTTTACTTGTATTTACATTGATATGATGCACATTTTACTGATTATAGTTATTTTATGTCACCAAAACTACACACATTTTATACTGTGGAAACAAGCTTCATCAGTAGTTAAAACTATTCAGTTTCGCGAAAGAGTTGTATTATTACCTCATTAGCTTCAGCTCCTCAAAATAATAAATGAATGATGTGCAGTGGCGGGATTTTTTTAACACCATGTGACAACAGAGCCACTCCCACCTGCCGGTAGAAACAGGTACTGCTGAACAGCTGACGGTTTAATTACCTGACACAAACGCTGCGTTAAGTGGAATGTTCGTGATGTATGTGGTAATTTTTAGTACTTACATAACAAAATAATTGTTATACAACATATATTTATTTAAGTGCAACATATTCCAAGAGATCAGGGGCTTTTGACAATACATCAGGGGCTTAAGCCCCCAAAGCCCCCCCCTCGCAACGCCCCTGGTTATGACAAAAGACATGAGAACAAGTGATGAAAGAAACTCATTCCTGTATTTCAATGAGTTCTTATGTGCATTTAGGAGAACTAGGCAGCACACTCAGGGCTGCAAGAGGGATTTAATTTAGTATTCTTATTATTAAAATATATCAGTATGAAAACCAACCTGCTTGTTCCTGCAGATCTTCATGTTTTACTGTGAATGTTTCTTCAATCTTCACATCCTTACTTTCCTCTTTAATAAACGCCATCTTTATAACAGTGTGGAGATCAGTCGCTTCAGCAGAAGTTTTTCTCTGTGTTTGAACACTTTATCCTGTTTAAAATGAACAAAACAATGAATAAAAACAAAATAACTTCTCTTCAACACTTGCTTCAACAGTTTCAACAGTTTATAAGAGTAATTAACAAAAAGAAATCAGGTATCGTCAAAACGTTTCTTTAAAACACTTATTACACACTTTTACTTTATTCAAACAATAGCCCTCGGTTACTGAGAATAAAATTGTACTATGTTGTATTAAGGGTTAAATAATATTTCAGGAACATAATTTAGCATCGTATAAAAAGCCTAAAACTTAAGAACTTTAACTTTAAATCGGTTTATATCTGTAAACGTTTTAAAACAAACCTTACTCCAGTTGAATCACAACGCTAAAGCGGCGCCGACTGATGACGTCACACGTCACGCCAAAATAAAAGTCTTTTTTGTTAAATTTTTTTGCAACTTCTTCTTCTTCTTCTTATAATTTTACGGCGGTTGGCATCCAGCGTTTTGGTGCATTACCGCCACCTTCAGCTCCGGAGTGTGGACCAGAGGTTAGGTTTACAGACTAATCATTCCCCCCACTTCCCTCTTTCCCACCCCTTCTCATACACACCCATACATACTTACATACACACCTCTCCCCTACTCCCATGTTATTATAATATCCATAATACTCTCATACTACTATTTACACTAATACCATAATAATAATAACCACCACATTGCTCTTACCCCTACTTTTACTTCCACTACTTGGTTATATTTAACTTTATTCCCTTTACCTTATAACTTAAATTATTATATCCTATCATAAACACCTGTTTCTCTCAGATACTTTATAAGTATTCTGGTCTGAATCCTGTCCTTTGTATTTAGTAAACCTTTTAATGTTATTTCCTGAATCCCTATTTCCCTTAGATCTTTTCTCATTTCCTCCCTCTGCTTTTCATACCTTTTGCATTTTAGTATCACATGTTCAACTGACTCTTCTTCACTACATCCCTCACATAATCCAGTTTCATGTTTTTGTATCAATTTAAGTGTTTTATTTAATAAACAATGACCCAATCTTAATCTTGTTATCACTATTTCTTCTCGCCTATTACCTCTACTGACTCTTTTGTGTTTAACAGCCTTTTGAACTGCATACAAATGCCTTCCTTTCTTTTCTCTGTCCCACTTCTCTTGCCACTTTTGATTTATTCTTACCCATATTAGACTTTTCACTTCTGCTTTACTAACCCTTATTTGCATTTCTACATTTTCTTTTGTTAATGCCCTTTTTGCTAATTTATCAGCCATTTCATTTCCCTTTATCCCTACATGACCTGGAACCCATATAAATCTTACCTCCTTTCCCTGACTTGTTATTTTATTTATACACTGGAGTACTTCATACAAGATATCTTGTCTACTTGAAGAAAATGATCTTAGACTTTCAAGAGCTGATGCTGAGTCTGAACATACCAAAATTTTTTCCTGTCCTGTCAATTGTACCCATCTTAATGCTACTAGCATGGCTAGCATCTCCACTGTATACACTCCCACATTATCAGATGTCCTTCTATTTATTTCAATTTCTTTTGCTAGTATAATAACCCCCAATCCAGACACTCCAGTTTCTGGGTTCTTTGCTCCATCTGTAAAAATCTGTGTGTACTCTTTGTATTTTTTTTCGACCCTTTGATTATAGATTTTTTCCAGATTTATGCTTTCTCTTGCCTCATTCTTTTTCTCTAAAATAAACCAGTCTACCTCTGGCCAAACTAACCTCCATGGAGCAATTTCTGGATAAATGACACTTGAACTTATTTTCATATCAAACACTCTTAATTCTTTTGCCACCATGTTTCCACACCGACCAAAATTCTCCTTGTGACTTTTCCCATTTTCCCAACTATCCTGTAATACTGCTTTAGTGATATGTGTATTTGTATGCCCCTGTAAACCTACCCAATAATTAGCCATCAACTGCTTCCTTCTTAATTCCAGTGGCAATTCTCCCATTTCCACTTGGATAGCTGACACTGGTGTTGTTTTAAAAGCTCCACTACATATTCTCAGTGCCTGCGCCTGAATTACTTCTAATTTTTTCAAGTTTGACTTGGCTGCTGAACCATACACTACACTACCATAATCTAAAACTGACCTTATTAATGCTACATAAATTCTATACAGTGATTGTGTGCTTGCACCCCAATCCCTTCCTCTCAAACACTTTTTTTTTTTGCAACTTACTGTTGCAGTCATGACTTATTCGTTTCTCCCATTTTTTTTACTTTACACTATAAATGCTCTCTCTCTCTCTCTCTTTCTCTCTCGCACAAAACTTTAATCTAAACATTTTAAGACAATTTTGAGAAACTTTTTTAATCCACTTTATGAAGACTTGTTTGTCTACAACACATTACTTCATTAATATCTGAGTCCAAATCTTACCCTCTTATTTATGACCTCTTTTTCTATTTCTACAACTTCATAGGCCTATGTAGAGTTTCCTTTTTTCATATGAATTATCTTCAGTAAAATATTTATTTACCTTTACTTACAGAAGTATTAAAGGGGTAGTTCACATAAAAATTACAATTCATCCTCTACTAGAGCCAAACCTGTTTGAGTTTCTTCTGCTGAATGCAAATGAAGAGAATAAAGGAGCAAAAACAGCCAAGATTCAACAGTTCCTACTTTGGACATGGCGGCTTTTTTCAACATTTTCTTGCACACAAAATGTTCTTGGAACTTGGTTACAATTGAACCACTAAGTCATGTCACATGTTTTGACAATGTTTTTGGTTCCTTTTCTGGACTTTGAGCATCTCTTGACTCTTGCTGTCTATGACAGATGTAGGAGCTCTCTGATTTTATCTAAAGCATCTTCATTTGAGTTCTGAAGATGAGCAAAGGTTTCAGGAGATTAAACAACAGGTAGAGGGACAATCGTAACTCATGCCTCCCATCAGTGCTGATATACAGCCTACAGACACATTGCTCTGCTTTTTTAAAATGTATTTATTCATTTTTTTATTGCAATAACAACAGGCCATTACAACAAATAGAAATATAAAAACTGATAGAAGGCTACATCACACTGCTACTCGTGTGATATTACTCATTTATTCTATTATTTTAATTATTTTTATTAATCAGCGGTCACTATAGTGGAATGATACGCCAACTTATGCAGCACATGCTTTACACAGCAAATGCCCTTCAAGCAGCAACCCATTACTGGGAAACAAGCACATACACTCATTCACACATACGGCATGCATACCGCATGTCTATGGACTTTGGGGAAACCAGAGCATCCGGAGGAAACTCACACGAACACGGGAAGAACATGCAAACTCCACACAGAAATGCCAAATGACCCAGCTGAGGCTCGAACCAGCGACCTTCTTGCTGTGAGGCGATCGTGCTACCTACTGCACCACTGCACTCATATGTGTAATTATTTGAGGTATTAAACTGGTATTGGTGAAGAACTATGCTTACAAATGATTGTTATTTTTAAAACGTGTAAAAAGGCACCATTCAGATGTAGCGATCTGGGGAATCAAGCATATAATGTTATAGACACCTATACTTATTTGTCTTAAGAGATGTAAGGCACATCCCTCAAAATGCCAAGTACACATCCAAAACAATCCAGAATAAAGTGATTTAAATTTTGGCATCCATAGTTCTGAAAAAAAATAAAACAGCAATATGACACTGCTGATTCATCTGCATTCTGTTTAATAAGTGATGGAACAAGGGATAGGTGCAATATTGAAAATCTCACCATTGTAATTCGATTTGTGTGCAATGGTGTGCCAGAGGAACATCTCATTGGGGTAATTGGGCAGGGGTTGCAAAAAAGGAAGTCTAGAATGAAATTCTTGTTGCCAGACCAATGCTCTCCAGGATGCTCCCAGCTGATGCTGACTGCTCTGCTGTTTGCAAACTTTTGCAGGAATACCAAGATGCATTTGCAAGTCTTCGTAAATTGTTTGTATCTGCAGTGGTCATGGGTGCCTCTAATGACTCATGTGCTTCGTGAGAGGAAAAAAAACTTGTACTTTTGGCCCATGTAAAGGCGATAACACAAACTGGACATGGATGAGTTTGTGACAGAATTCTCTTAAACGAGACAAAACCTAATGCTGTATTAAACAGATAAATAGGCAAAATTGAGTCTCATGGGGTTAAAAAAAGATAGTAAATATATGTTCTTTAAAAATCAAATAAGGTTACAAAAAGTTTATCTATAGATATAGGTTGAGAGAACAAACAAGAAAAAAAAGTTTTGCGAGTCAGTAAAAAAAATAGTGATGTAAATAGTTATTTTAAAAATCAAATACAGTTACTAAATAGAAGGTCTGTTATAAGTAAAAATAATAATAATAATAATAAAAGGCAAATTTAATAAGAAATAAAAAAATAACCTATGGAATTAATTTAAAAATAGTGATGTAAATATTTATTTTATAAATAACTTTATTAAGTTTATTTTATTTGCAGATGACACAAGCATTTTTTGTTCTGGGCATAATTTACCAAAACTTATGGAGTTGATTAAAACGTTGATTAAAACGTTGTTTGACATAAACAAATTGTCATTAAATATAAGTAAAAGAAAGGTTATGTTATTTGGGAAATTAAAAAATAGTTATAATATAGATTTACAAATTGATAATGAAGTTATAGAAAGAGTGTATGCAATTAAGTTTCTTGGTGTTGTATTGGGTCATAAAATTAGTTGGAAACCACAAATAAATAATGTGATATCAAAGTTAGAAAAAACTGTAGCAATAGTGTATGAAGCGAGATTTATCCTGGTCAATAAATCAATGTACATATTATATAACACACTTATGTTGCCATATATGAGTTATTGTGTTGAAATTTGGGGGAATACATATAAATCTAATTTACGATCCATATGTACAATGCAGAAAAAAGTAATTCGACTAATAGAACATGTTGGGTATTTAGAGCATA